GTTGCTTGTAAGTTTTACTTTTGACAAAGCTTTTGATAATAGCTAATATTGAGATTGACCACGGACCACCATAGACTATGATGCTAGGACTCTGGTACAAGTATTGGGTACAGGTACGTATCTAAGCGTCGTACTTTTATTTCGTAAAATGTAGGATACGGGGACATGCTAAAAAGAATCAAAATATCGGACACGGGTATGTGAGTACGTCTTTCAAACTTCAAAAGGACTAAAATAAAATAAATTTTTGTACACTATTTGAATGTATTCAAAAGTTAATTTTTAAAAAGTTGAGCTCTTTTTAATTTAATTGGCGAATTGGAAAAGAGGCAACCTCTAGTCTTAAGGTATAAATTGGAGAAGACCACCTCTTTTTTCTTAACCCAGCTAGTTGGGCAGTTGGAGAAATGGGCCAAGAAATAGGAAGCCTAAGAAACTCTTAAATTTAGTGCTTCCACCTATACACACTCTTTTTTATTTAACCTAATTAGGTGGGCTGTTCTGGAAATTGTCCCTATGCCTTTTTAACTCTACGTTACCCTACATCCATTCCCACTGCTGCCTCATTTTCACAATCGCCTACTATCTCCGTCCTCTATGCGACAGCTTTTTTACTTTGTTCTCGCTTTCCGAATACTCATATGTAAACCCCCAAAATTTTCTACCGCTGTTGATGATGATGAATCATGGCCGTGAATTTTGTCGGATGTTTTCTCCATTAGCGCCGCCGCCTTTCTGCACCATGCTGTGTCCAGTTGCAAAGCGGCATGTCCACCCCATATCTCATACCCGTACCCGTGTCGTGTCGACACAGGTACTCCGGCCGGATTAGAAAGTGCGAGCATCATAGACCATGGACACCGTCAATCCATTTTGAATTAAAATTATCAGTCAATAGATAAACATGGTATTTACCTAATGGTTAGAGGCAAAATATTGAATATATTGCAAGTAAAGAATAGTTACGCAGCATGATTATGTACCTATGCCCCGATAAAGACCACGAACTCCCCCTTCTTTGTAGACGGTCTGTATCACATTTTTTATGCCACTATATTCAGGTTGAGCAGGCAAGCTTCTTGACCCCCTCTGCAAATTCCCTCTGGTGTTCGTAACCTATAAAGCGAGAAAAAGTAAATTTAGAAGGCAAATAATAAAACATCTATTTGAAATGATAGGTAGAAATCACATTAAAATGCTTGAAGCATGCAAAAAGAATATTTTAATGAAAATATATATCAACTTAAATGAATTAGTAATGCTTCTTTCCTTGTCAAATGAGAAAGTCAAATGATGTAGAGAATAAGTACCTGGTAAGCAAGTTTAGTACGAGCCAAATCTAACGGATAAGTGCATAAAACTGCAGTTCCTCCAGCTGCCGAACCAGCCAAAAGATCTACTACAGGTCCAGTTCCTAAGGTTGAGTAGTTACTCAAAATCCAAGACCGATATTGTTCATAAGTCATAAAATGAAGTGCCGCATATGGAACAATTCGAAGGACACTAGCTCCATTTCCTCTGAAAACATTGTAGAGAATAATTAAAATCGATAATCATAAAAATTTAATAAACAAGAATAGAAAATGGTTGACTCAGTAACTTACTTATAAAATCCTGAAACACCATCATGCTTCAGTAGCTTCTTTAGAGATGGATAAATTCCAAGGGAACGAAAACCTTCAGTTCTTGTCTAGTAAAAGAAAGAGTAAAAATTATTATGAATGCCTAAACGGAACAACTTCAAGAACAAGTCTTGTAAATAACAGCAAAAGTCAATGAAAGAGCTCGATAAATGAATAAATATACCAAAACTACCTGTATAGAAGTATAACAATTATGACACCGTTCTTAACAATTAGAAACATAAATATACTTCATAAAGCAAGGAAAATATTGAACATTCCATTCAGCTTTGGCAGTACAAAGCTACGGGACCATGTAAAGATTACATCATAGACACTGAAATCCGAATAAGAAGCCGAGAATCTACTACAACAAAGATTAAATTTAAACCTAATGTGCAAAGGAAGAAGCAGATGCATTCAAATCTACAAATATTTTGCTGTGAATGCCATTAAAATTAGCAAACAACCAACCAATCTTAAGGCCCCTGTTTTTTATGCATCATTACAACTCATTGGTGTCAAAATCCATCAGAAGAATTACTTATTTTAAGATTATTATCTGCACATTAACATCCAAGTGAATACATTGCACACACTGTAAGGGCATGTTTGGAAAATAAATTTGAATAAGACTCTGCAATATAATGGACGAGATTCTCTTGCTTAACATATCAAGTGCGATTTAGAAGTCCACACCAAACGCATTAATTGTTTAAAACTTTAAATTACAATTAGTTAAACAAATAATAACTCAATACCTTGAACAATTTATTTCAGTCAGTCTATATCAATCAACACCATAAAACCAACAAAAATCTTAAAAGGTAGGGGAAAAAATTCACCTGCAAAAGGATTTTAATTCGTTCCAAAGGCGCAACTGCAGTTTTCGCGAATGCACCAGCAGTCCCTCCTGCAATCAACTCTTTCACATAGACAGGCACACTATCCATGTACTTAACCTCTTGACAGGCAGATGATTTATCAGCAAAATCTCTCACGTTTGCCGTAAAAGCAGATTCTTGCGAAGAACCCATATCGGCAATCCTCAAATTATCCAATCAAATTACTTAAGAAAAGAACTTCTATTTATTTATTTTTGTAAACTAATTATCCCCCCGGCAATTGATAAAACTCCTTATCCCATCTATCTCTAGGAATGCAAAATGAAAATATTCTCTGCTCAATAGGCAAAACCAGTGGCCTGAGAACAAACCCTATGTTCACAAGCCAATCCTCTTCTTCAGTAAAAACAAGATACATCAATTGTCTGAGCCAAAAAATATAACAATCAATGCACTTTCAAATTTCAAACCCTAATTCCATGGATCTACAAAGCAAATTCTTCAACCCAATTTTTTTTCTCAAGATATGACCACAGGAACCCAGAATTAGATCTCGCAAAATGAATGAATCCAGCTACACAAAACAGCCAAATCAAGAATATCAAATTCAATATCTGGCATCTAAATCTGATGAAAAATATTAGTGGATATCCAAGATGGCCCAGAACCGGTTTCTCTCCTTCAAACTGAGAGGAGGAGAAAGAAGGACACAGAGAATATTGTTCAATTTTTTTTTTTCCCTCTTTTAAGTTTTTTTCCCTATTTCTTGGAGGGGTCTATTGCTTTTGTTTGATTATGAATCTCGAAACTAGAATAACGGAGTTTTGATGAAAGTTGCCTTTGACACGACACTACATTACGCGTTATAACGTGCATAGAATCAGAGATGACCAATGTCTAGGAAACTTCACCCGAAAACTAATTTAAGGGAAATGATTGGTGTATAGATAGGCTCTGTGACCCTATCGACACTTTAACATTTGGGTAATTTTTTGACCTTTTTTATTGGAAAAAATTCATATTTAAGGTATATTCTTTACACCATTTCAAAAGTTAGGTAAGAAGTTTGAAAATTCAAAATTCAGGTTTGTATTTAATTAATTAAAATTATTTATTAAATAAATATATTAATGTCACATTTAAATAATTAATGGTCACAGATTTATTTACTGGTCACATATCATCAAATTAATTGGTTACAGATTTATTCACTGGTCACATATAAAAAAATTTATAGGTTACAAATTATTTCAAGGTTACAGATCAAAAATTTTAGAGGTCACAGATTTTCTTAAGTCACGGATTATCAAATTTCAAGGTTACAGACCAAATCGTTGAGGTCACAGATTAATTTTTAAGTCACAGATTGTCAAATTTTAAGATCACATGCCAAATCATTGATCACATATACCAAATACTCCACTGCCAAACCCAATTCACCACCAATGCTTAGTTACAGAGCAACCAAATGGTCACCACCACCACCGCCACCAACAATGTCGCCACCACTAGATCCAACACCATTGTCGACAAAAATCACCACAACTAACAACCACCGTTTCCATCCAAATCACTACTACCAACAACCACCGCCAACAACACCACCACCGCACACAGCCACCGTTAGGGGCACCACCACCGCAGAACACATATCGAAAAAAATTTCAATGACTCACTGCCTAACCACACCAGCTGCAACTAACACCGCTTGCAAGATCACCGCCTCGCTGTCACTTGCATAATCACACCATCTGCAACCACCAATCATAATCAACAAACCACACGCCACCACTAGAACCACCGCCTATCCAACAACACCCACCACAACAGCCAGATCCATCCCTACGCCACTACTGCCACAAACAAAAACCATACCACAAACAAAACTAAATAGTCACTGGAGTGAGTAAGTGAGATCTAAATTTGTTGAGGATGAAATCGAAGAACACGACTGGAGATCGAAGAGAGATGCGACGGAGCCACCGAGTGAGGTTGCTTCAGAGGAGTTGAGGGAGGGAAAAAAAAACATAATCACCGTCGAAAAGGTTGAATCAATGCATTGCCGCCATCGCCGTTATGAGCCCTGCCACCGTCGCTGTGTTTTGTGATGAGAGAAGCGAGAGAATATGGAGAGATGGAGAAGACGGTAGAGAGAGAAAGATGAGGGAAAATATTAGGGATTGGAAAATTGAATTGGGTGAAATTAATATTTATATTATTAAATCAATACCTGACTTTTGCATAATGAAACTTCAGCTATGATTTTTGAACTGTGAAGTTTAAACCCCTGCTATTGTGTAATTTCCTCTTTTTTATTTAGTGAAACCCACACTTTTTGTATGTTTTCTGTAAACTTTTTATAGGAAAATTTCTGTACGCCTATCATTTTTGCTAATTCAATCAAATTGCATATACACAGAATTTAACATTGAGCCCTTTCTGAGTCCTATTATTTGATAAAAATATATTTTAGAATATTAAATTTTTAAAGAATATATAGTTGAAAAATAAAGGCTAGCTTTTGACTTATAGGGCGCTTAGGCTTAGCTCATCAAACAAGTGCGCCAAAGGTGGGGGATGGTATCATATTATCTTATAATAGGGCACGCCTGCTTTTAGCTCGTAGTTTCACTCTCACTTTTGCCTTACCTTCTATTATATTAGTAAAGGGCGAATGAGGGGCGTGTGCATTTTCTTTCATGTGCAAAATTATTTTATGAAAAAATGTGTGGTTAATAATATATTTGGAGAAAAATGTATTATTTAAAAATTGGGATCAAATAAAGACTAAGTTTGATATTCTTGTGATGTGTTCTTTTTTTAGACATTGATCTTCACAACACTTTAAGGCTCTGTTTGACTCGCATTCTTTCAAAAAAAATATTTTTAAACAGTAATTTGATAACATTTCAACCACATTTTTTAAGAAAATAATATTACACGTAAATTCAAAAAAATTTCTTATTTTTTAACCACACATTTATCATCAATACACTATTCAAAAATGCTTATTATGAAAATAATATGACTCAAACAATAGCTAAATGATTAATAACACAATTTTTGACAATATTTGACAGGTCAAACTTTATGTACACCATGTGTGCACAACTAGTCAAATCCAAACCGATTTTATAGTTAACTTTTCGTGATGTAACAGCCTAAGAGGTATCGAGAACCCTCAAGTCATCGTCATTTTCGTGTGACATCAGAAAATACTTACACATGGATGGGAGTTGTTTTATATATACCAACCTATTTTTGTCCCATTATATCAATTTTTTCTTTTTAAATTCGTTTTTAACCACACAATCTCTT